CTCGAACCCGCAACCTTTGGGTTACGAGTCCGGCTCTCTAACCATTAGGCCAATGAATGCCCTTGGTTGTAATAATTTTATTAACATTTAAACAATACCAGAAGTTATGCTGTAGTGAAGAGATGGCAGATGTTTATCATTAAATTAATATTCTCAGTTAAAAGAAAAAGTTATATTGTATTCTATTGTTTACGGTGTTCAAAATATTATATTTTAATAAAAAAAGCTTTTATACTGAATCATTTAGTTTTTAGAATATATGTCATAAAACAATATTACGAACCACTTTAATTTATTTGTATTTATAAAATCTATGTGATGTCTTACATGTACCTGAAGGCCTTATTCCTCAGCTTGTCTTTGCTTTTGTGTCTTTCTGTGTAGAACAAATAATTAATAATTTAAATAAAAATGCCTGCATATTCATATAAATATGCTGCAAAAAGGAAAATAAGTGAATGACAACTATTCATAACAACATTAAATGTTTAATACAACAAGGATTACAGAAAAATTAACAGCCGCAGCTTCTTTAACAGATCTCTCCATCAGAAGATATGTCTAAACATCAACGTTTTTTCTGAAATCCAAAACCAGTCAACTTTGTCATGTCAGCTAAGCAGACAGAGGAATTGTGATTTTAAAAATAAGTTTATTCAATAATGTCAGTTGCATCTTTCTTAATGATCTGTCTTCATTTGAGCAGCACAAATTCAGCAGTGTTATTATATCAAGCAAAGACCACAGAGAATTACTGCTTTACAACATCATCCAGTGACACTGACAACCTTTAGATGAAGACATAAGCTATGTTTTCATCACCCTGTTTTTATGGCATTTTGAAATATTGCATAAGAAATGAGTGATGGAAACACCAAATTTTAGAACAAAATTCCCTTAATTCGCAAAAAAAAAGTTTCTACACTCGCTTGAGGTGGATTTTGAATAGTACGAAAAAGAGTTATTGCGAATAATGGGAGATGGAAACGCATTTGCCGAATACATTCTGACGTGAACATTAAACCCACGTGACTAATCACTTTTGGTTACTAGGTTACCAATACCACCGTCATCTGCTTGAACAACTTCAGAATCAGAAAGACAGCATTATACACACACAAGGAATTTTTCTTGGTGACAAGAGCTTCCAATGCAGAACTTGATGGAAACACCTA